TTTATTATATCTTTATCACTTTTTTTTTTTGTCCTGTTTTTTGTTTTTTTGAAAGTTTCTTGCACGACGCTTTTTTTTTTTCTTCGCATTTCTATGGTATGTGAAAATGTATCTTTCCATGTTATAACAGTGGATTCTCATTTTGCACATTTTAAAAGTAGTGTAGTGACGCCCTGTGAGACCCGTTCGAACCACGTAAGGTGTCGTTTCACTTGCTGATTTTATTTTTTCTTTTTTTCCTTGCGGGCATCTCTGCACTACTCTCCACATGCGCAATAGACAAAAAAATTGGCAATGTATCTTTTCATGTTCGAGGGGTGAATTCAATCTCATTTTGCACATTTGGAGAGTAGTGCAGTGACACCCTGTGACGTCCGTCCGAACCTGTGTGGCCGACAGGCCTCGCTGCACTGCTTTCCACATGCGGAGAAAACAAAAAAAATGGCAATATACTTTTCCATGTTCTAGCGGTGGATTCATTCTCATTTCCATTTTGCACATTTGGAGAGTAGTGCAGCGACGCCCTGTAGCACCCGTCTCAGTCTGTGTGACCTACGAGCCTCGCTGCACTTCTCTCTGCATGCGCAAAAGGGGGGGAAAATGACAATGTATCTTTCCATGTTATAATTGTGGATTCAGTCTTATTTTACACATTTCGAGAGTAGTGCAGCGGTGCCCTGTGGTGCCCATTCAAACCGCGAGGGCGCCATTTTATTAGCTTATTTTATTATTAGTATTATTTTAACATCGTGGGCAATTTTTCTTTGAATAAACCGACATTGAGGCCGAGGACCTCACAGTTCATCCCGGATGTAGAGTTCGGAAACAGGCTCAACGTCCTCATGTACCGACTGGAAACCTGGTCCAACATCCTCTATTAAAGGATAAAGTAAAGAACTGGCAAACATGTTTAGCATCCTCAAGTACCACTCAGAAACCAGAACCAATGTCCTCTATCGTGCTGGAAAACAGGTCCAGCGTCCTCTGTGTTTAAGTTTTCTATGGATACCACCCCTCTTCAAGTTGATAGCCAACTGACTATCCCATTTCTACCAACAAAACATGGGTGTTGATCCTATTGAATGCTGAGGGCTTTGAGTCCTGTTGTCTGTTAGGCTGTGTCTTTATCATTCCAAAGGAGCCTATAAATTTTTTTTTTGCCTGAGTCCAGAGAGTCTGGCCACTTAAACAAGTAACCCCATTGATTTTTGTTTTTAATAAAGCAGGTTCCCTTTCGGGGCTTACCTTGTTTCCTGAATTCTGATTATATCAGCATTCGGACTGAGTGTCTGAACTTGTTTCTAATAGCCACCCCGGAGGACTGTTTGTCCATAAATCTTCTGTCTTTGTGAGATAGCTACAACAACCAAAATGCTATGACCCTGAATTTATAAGCAACTGTTTTCCTTTTCTTTGATATAGTCATGCTTGATATTACAAAGGACGGATTCCATGTATCAGATTTCCCATACGCCGCGAACCGTATATTTTGAAGTCATTCACATAAACCACGAGCGATCACACACTCCCACCATATGTGAGTCAGGACTCCACCCGTGTATAGAGACATTGATCGCGGAAGATGTTGACTATCATCCGTTTCTCTGAGCATCATTCGGTTGTGGGAATGCACGAGTGCATATGTAGCCATTGCAAACTGCCCATCCCAACTTTCGTAATCCCTTAAATCATCTGACAGTAAAATGAGAACCATCTGTTCACAAATGTTAAAAAGGTAATGGGCTGGTTCCTCTTGTTCCAGGACAACCACGACCGTGTTTTCAGTGATGTAGCTTTTGAGTGAAAACTGTAGTCCAATTTGGGTTTGTATTTATACAGAGGAGTAGAGACCGATGTTGTTGACCTGGGTTTCAGTGTTTAAGACCAGTGCCTTAAGTTTATACTCGAGGACACCAGAGATCTGGTGGAACTATCGGCATAAACAAACAAGTTGCCCCCTGACGTAGGAGTGAAACTGACTTTGCTTAGCTCCCCTAGTCTGTTTTGGGGCACAGATGTGCGAGTGTCTCTTTCAAAGTCTTCTAAAGTCCCCTGTTGTCAACCTTCATCTTCAAATTTTTCATTTGACTGCAGGTTTAATATATGCAAAAGCCGAGATTCTTGTTCCTTATCTGACCACCATGTATCTACCAACCAATCGTCATCTTCTTCGAATAGCAGAAGAAACCAGAGTGCTGGGATGACCTCTATTAACTCCTTCAGATACGGGAAGATATTTCGAAGACCTTGAAGTTTGGGCTTCAGTTAGTATGCTGTTTTCTTCTTCTTCCCCTTCCTGTTCCAGATATGTCCCACCCGCCAGATACCTCTCTCTAAACATTTTCGACTGAAATTACCCGACTCTGAGGTGACACTGAACACCGTCCCACCTTCTCCCCGAATTGCAGAGTTATCGTACAACACTGCTGATAATTTTTTTTCGGCCAATGAGTACTCCTTTGACCTGTCCGGTAGCATTATAGACTAGGCCTCAAGGATGGGCCCCAGGTGGGAGAAGTAGTATATTTGATTAGTAATGGGGGGAGTAATAAACAGTCCCATAATGTTGTTCCCATAATGTTGTGATGTTCATTAGGTTCCACTGTTGGGAGATGATATTAATAGCTAGTTGGATCCAAGGAGCGTCCACAGGTTGTGTTAGGAACCTGACCACCCACTTGGACACGAGAGATCTATTATGAGACTCGGGGTGAATGACACCTAAACCACCTTCTTTTTCTCCACGATCTTCCACCAAGTTAGCTTGCTTATGTATGTGGCGTCAGAGTCCCCCTTCCAAATGAATCTAGAGAGGAGTTGGCAGATTAGTTATCGAGAAAACTACGGCGCAGTCAGGGTTTGAGTTTGCAATTGCACTTGAGGCAAAAGGGCCGGTAATGCTGAATGTATATGACCTATGTTTCGGGTCCGGTGAGGTCGCATGAGGGTGTGTTGTATTCGCGGGATTGCCTGAAGTGCAATTACAAACTGTTTTTGTGACTGCGTCGAAGTTACCCCTTAGTTCTATTATAGATTGTGATGTTTTTTTATTTAAATGAGAGGATATGCCAGACCGTGGAAATAATAGAGACGTTAGTGACCATAGCCCTGCCGAAGATTGAGAGATATTTCTTTTTGGACTAGCGGGAACAAAAGTTTCTGATTCTTTCCTCTATAATGGAGATCTGGGCTAAATTGCAATCCGAGAATGACACTAGGATCCCAAGGTAATGCTCCGAAGCTGTGTTAGCGAGGACCTTGAGTCCCCAGTTTATTGCTAATGGGCTACCGTCTGGAGTCATTGCAATTGATTTGTGCCAACTTACCTTCATTTCCGAGGCGATTTCATAGATTGTTAGGCATTCCTTTAGAGCTGAGAGTGACTCAACAAAGTTCTCTAGAGCAGATACCTTTAGGCTGTATGAAGCAAACACAGGCAGACCTCTATACAGAGGGTGTGATTTGACCATGTTCAAAAGGACGTCCATTTGAATTACAAAGAGGGAAGGAGCCAACGGGCAACCTTGACGAAGGGACCTTGACACTGTGAAGGGGGGTGAAGTAAAACCGTTAACTATTACCCAGCCTTGAGAGCCCCGATTTAGAGATTTGAACCAAGTGTGTTGAAGTTGGGGCCAAAGCCTACCCGTTTGAGCGTCAGTTGAACAAAACCCGGTCATAAGCCTTTTCAAAGTCAATTAGTATGACTGTCGAGTTAACATTCTTCATCTTTATTAGTTCCAACGCTTGTGAAACGATCATCACATTATCCAGGACTTTCCTCCCTGGTTCGAAGCTTGACTGTTCTGGTAACACCAACGTTGTCATAATATTGGTCAGTCTCCTAGCCATGGTCTTAGCCAGGATTTCCCTTGCTACATTAAGAAGAGAGATGGGACGCCAGTTACATACGTCCCTTTTATCTCCCTCCTTGTACAAGAGTGTTATTACTCTCTCTGTCATACGAGACCCTAGTTTGTGGCCATTCAAAATTCGTTAAAAATACGGACCATGTCCGGTCCCAAAAGGTTCCAGAACATTTCGTATAATTCCACTGGAAGCCCGTCAGGGCCAAGGCACTTGCCTTTCGCCATTCTTTTCATAGCTGCTGTAAGTTCTGGGAGGGTAATCGGTTGTTCCAACTGTTCTTGTTCTTTATTTGAGAGGATCCTTTTTTGTGTAGATCCCCAAAGAAGGTGGTCCAATTCCTAGTTGACCACTGGGGCACCAGGCTGTTTTTCTGATGTTAGCAGCTTCTCATAGAATGAGAGAAAGTGGTGCATGATCTGTTATGAAGTTCCAACTATTGGCTCTTCCAGATTGAATGGACTGAACATTTTCAAGCATTGATGAGGAGCCCAGGACCCCTCTGTATTTCTTGAATGTTCCTTTACTCATCCGGTCAGATTCGATAATCATTCCGTTCTACACATCTTTCAGGGGCATTTTGGCATATATCTCAACTTGTGGGGGTATTCTGAGAATTTCCCCTGAAAAAAAATAAAGATTCCCAACCGCTCTACACACATCTTTCAGGGGCAGCGAACTGTTGAAACGGCCACCTGAGTTCGAATCGACATGAAGGGCCTCGCTGCACTACTCTCCAAATGTGCAAAATGAGAATGAATCTTCTGCTAGAACATGGAAAGATGCGCCGCCATATTTTTGTCTTTTGTACATGTTGTGGAGAGCAGAGCAGCGAGGCCCGAAATCAGATCAGGAGGAATAAAACGCTGATACTACCTGGGGCCGGTCAGTTGGAAGGCGATATCTCAGGGCTGTATAAGACCGAAGACCGAGGAGGACGACGGGCACGGGCACGGGGACCACGGGCACGGGCACGGGCACGTGAAGATGATCTTCGAGGAGCGCGAGAGAACACAGCGGCTGCCGTCGGGAAAAGGGAAACTCTTCTCCACCCCGCCCGCGCCACTGCATTGGTGCATTTTTGTTGCGCCCTGAATTTCGAGCGCGGGCGGAGCAGCGGGGAATCGCGCAAGAGCCAGTTGGCGCCACTTGCAGTCGTTTCTTTTCTTCCTTTTTTTTGTTTGTTTTTTTGGTTTCGGCGTCCCGGCTCATTACACAAGTGAGCGAAATGAATTTGGCGACTTTTTCGGCCAGAGCGGTGGCCGTTTGCATGCCAACCTCAATTCTCCCGCCGAGGACAGGAACAGGCGGGGAGAGGAGGCTTACTGCTGCTGAGAGCAGCAGCACCATTCCCACATCGAACCCCGGGAGGTGCTGTCACCATCTCCATCGCCATAGACATAGCCATCGCCATAACCATAGCCATCGCTACGGCGCTGACTGGAAGCACCGCTCTTCGCCTATCTTCTTGGTGGCTTCTACGAGCAACAAGAAGAGAGGAATTGCCGCCATAACTGATACTCCGAGGGCGGGATCTTCGAGAGGGGCATTACCCTGTGGGATTTCTGCCCTTGGATCGCGATCCCGATGTGGCCAAGCATCTCGCAAGATTGACTGTGATGCGCTGCTGCTCCAGGTACGTCAGGTGGATGAGACCCGGCGAGGAGGGTGCTGGATGCAATTGCCGAAAGCGCCGAGTTCCGTTGGGCTCAATGTCCCATTTGACAAAGACCCAAATGGGAGAGGGTGGAGGAGGAGGTGGTTAAGTGTTCTCCAGGCAGCTGCCGCTCGCGATGACGAAAGGGGGGCGATTTTAGGAAGATCAGAGGGTGCCACGTCATTGCGCTCATCTTCCGGCATCGAGGACCGCTCATTCGTGCAAGGGGAGAGTTTGCAGGTGGAAGAAAACCCGCAGGGTCTAGACAAGCCGCCCGCGCCAAAGCGCCAGGTTGGTTGCCACACAAAATCTGACCCGCCTTCACCCGGCTGCTCCCTGTTAACTCCCCCTGCCTCTCCCCTCCTCCCCCTCTTTCCCCCTCTTTCCCCCTCCTTCCCCCTCCTTCCCCTCCTGCCCCCCTCCTCCTCCGCCCTCCTCCGCCCTCCTCCTGTCTCTTATACACATCTAGATGTGTATAAGAGACAGGTTGTAGCAATCAATGGAATCCGCCCTACCTCACTAACAGTGCATTAAAAAAAAAAAAAAAAAAAAAAAAAAAAACAACAACGAATTGGACCATAGTGGTCATTAGATGCAATTTGTATTATACGTATGTGAGTATGTCCTCGGTGAGGCCCTTCCCGGATATCACAAACATCGATGTACTTTGTTCGTTGTTTTTTTTTTCTCTTTTTCTTTCATTGGGCGAGTTTTCAAGGTTCGAAAATAAAATTTTCCAGTTTTTTTTTATGTCGAGCCTCATCAGGACCCCCCGAAAGATCAAATAGTGAAAACATAGTGGTTATAGAATGCATCTCATATATCTGCATTACTTCGTTGTATGTACAATTCTCAGTTTGAAACACAAAATTTCCTCGACGAATTTTGACCAGGTTATACTTTTAGTATCTCTTAGGAGACTTCTCCCCTGACTATGCCTTGTGGCACCACCAACATTCAGGTCAATTGAAAATCGAGGGCCACAGACCTTGCTCCCTTCATATACAGTCACTTACCTATAGGCGTAGCTGCACACACAATGTTTTAGCTTGCTATGTCAGTCAATTACATATCGGCAGTATGTTCAATAATTTTTAAATTCAAATTTTGACTTATAACAAACTTTTTTATTATCGATCCCACCAATTTCTTAACACTAGATGTGTGGGTACTAACCGGTTAGCATACAATCATAAAATTATACGGAAACAAAATTATAACTACCATCCGATAGTACAAGGGGTGGAAAAATTTCGGAAGCATAAATATTAGTATCATCGAGTTACTAACCAATCGGACATCTATCTCGTTCTACCATAGACTATTAATTCCCGTCTTGTATAAGTACTAAAATTTTCATAAATGCAACAAGATTTAGAGCTTAGGCCGTGTGACAAAAAAAAAAAATCATTAACAGATAAAAATAAAATCAACACAGATGAACCAAACCTAAACCGACATATGTGAGTAAGTAGAGTATACTAAGGTATTTGAGAGAACCATATTGAAGGCACTCGCCTCAACAAACTTGCCAAAATTATTATTTTTTTTTTTTTTATTTTTTTTTTTTTTTTTTTTTNCCCTCCTCCCCCCACCCATCCTTTTCTCCTGCTTCCTACTTTGCGCTCTCTCTCTCTCTCTCTCCTACGTTCTGCTTACCGATGCGCTGGGGTGCTTTCTTGGCCTTTTCCTCCTTGCATCTGGGGGGTTTAATTACTAGTCTGTTTTCCCCCTTGATCGAATTCTCCCTCTCCTGGCCTTTTCGTCCTTGCATCCTGTTTCACTCCTTTTCGGGTTGTCTTTTTCATCTTTTTTTTTTAATTGTTATTTATATTCACATTGCCTGTCCCTCTCCGTCCCCCCTCCCTGGGGGGGGCCTCCTCCTTACTGGTCTCAATCCGTTGCGCGGCCGGGGTTGGTGGACTACCATAACGTCTTTTTTTTTTTTTTTTTGACACGATAACGTGTTTCTTTACGAGATTGCTAGTCCGTTAGATCCTCTCCGTCTCGCCTCGCATGCGCATGATCGATAATTATGAGGTTCTTAAAAGGAGGCAGAAGGAAACGAAAAGAGGAAGAGTTGTTTGGGGGGGCCCGTCTCTCGTCTGTATCATTGGTCTCCGGAAGATTACACCTGAGTTTGGGCCTCGCGCCACTGCTCACCTACTGTGCAAATGAATCTTCCGCTTGAACATGATATGGGAAGATTCACCGCCATCTTTCGTTTTTGTGTTGAGCTCTCTTTTTCTTTGTCATGGCGTTGTCCAGTCGTCGAGCTGACCGGTCCCAGGTAAGTCACAATTCCAGAATTACTGTATTTTTTTATTCATCTAATTCCACAAGGATTCGAACTAGATGCACGTCTAAGTGTGAACACTTTGCACTGTGGTCCGTAGGTTTGACTCGCGATGGGACTACCAGGGAAACAGGGAGGGTTCTCGATATACCGTCCAGGCAACCATAATGGCTGACGACTGAAGGTTGTCCTGCCAGGCTAGGCATCCGACCTCTACAACAACCTGGGTTTAAAAAAAAAAGAAAAAAAGAAGAAAGAACTGCGAATGGCTCATTAAAAAAAAAAAAAAAAGGTCTCCACAACTATTGGTCTGCATTTCAATAGTTCATGGGGTGTAACCAACTGAGGTAGGCCCGCAGGATTTCCGCGCTACGGTAGTTTTGCACAGTTGGTGAAAAAAAACGTCGAGGGCGTCGCTCCACTACACAATACATGCATTTGGATTCTTTCTGGACCAGTTGCATTCGGACGAGTTCAACTTTGTGAATGTATCGGGTCCAGAAAGCCTCCAAATGCACGTAGAGTGCTCTGTGGTGGAGCGAGGCCGCAAGAAACCTTTCCCGTGTCTGTCAGCGCTGCTGCGTCAGCTTCTCTGTGCCTTCCCTCTTCTTCTTGTTCTTCTTCTTTTTTCTTTTTCTTTGCCTTTCCTTCCCACATTGAAGGAAAGGAGGGCGCTTGCTTGCTCCCCTCCGCTCCCTCCACCCGCTCCACTCCCCTCCATCACCCTCCCCTCCACCCCCTCCTCTCCTCTCCTCCTGTCTCTTATACACATCTAGATGTGTATAAGAGACAGGCCATGGACTGCTGAAACACAGGCCTGGGTCCTTTCTGAATTATATGGGCCCCTGCCGCAC